GGGAGCTGGCGGGGCCGTGCTGGGGGTGTGGCTGTAGCGCTAGGGGGAGCTGGCGGGGCCGTGCTGGGGGTGTGACTGTAGTGCTAGGGGGGAGCTGGCCGGGCCGTGCTGGGGGTGTGGCTGTAGCGCTAGGGGGGAGCTGGCAGGGGCAGCACTGGGGGTGTGACTAGCGCTAGGGGGGAGCTGGCGGGGGCAGCGCTGAGGGTGTGGCTGCAGCGCTGGGGGTATGGCTGTACCACTATGGGGGGAGCTGGCGGGGCCGTGCTGGGGGTGTGGCTATAGCTCGGGGGAGAACTGGCAGGGGGCAGTGATGGGGGCAAATGGCCAGGGGCAGCGCTAGGGGTGTGGCTGCAGCTGGGGGGGAGCTGGCGGGGGCAGCGCTGGGAGTGTGGCTGCAGCGTTGGGGGCGGAGCTGGTGGGGCAGCACTGGGGTGTGGCTGCAGCGTTGGGAGGGGACGGGGGACGGACTGGCGGGGGCAGAAGACAAAGCACTAATTCTCCAGCCAGCCGTGCACAATGGGCCGCTTAGTGCAGCACAGTCCCAGGGAATGTTTCGCTTTCGCCTACGGGTCATGGGGCTACAGAGCCCAGCTGGGCGGAGCTGGACGCCAGGACTCCTGGGTTCTCTCTCCAATTCTGGGAGGCAAGTGCAGGCTAGTGGTTAGAGCAGGGGGGCTGGGAGTTGCGGCTCGTGAGTTCTATCCCCGGCTTTGCTACTGAGACTCTGCACAGAGCTTGCCCAGGTCCCTCCTCCCTGCCTCAGTTTCCCCAGCTGTGAAATGCTCTTGAGCCAGCTTTGCCAAGGAGCAGCTGCCGGTGATCCGTCCCCACTGGCACCTGCCTCAGCATGAACTAGCCCATGAGCCCTGGGAAAGGGGAAGTGATACCAGGCCTCTAATATAAGAGCTTATGTCTCTACAACAACAGGAAACGTGCTGCAAACAGCACATCAGCCATGGCTGGGTGGCCTTGGGGCCTGTCCCCTTTAAGAGGTGTGGGCTCCAATATGTGGGACATGGCACCTTTCCCCTGCAGGGGCACTGACCCCTGTCTCCCTCACCCCCCAAGTCCTGCTGTCCCAGCGCATTGAAGAGGAGGACATGAATGGGAAGACGCTGAAGATCACAGACTTCGGGCTGGCGCGAGAGTGGCACCGCACCACCAAGATGAGCGCAGCTGGCACCTACGCCTGGATGGCACCCGAGGTCATCAAGGCCTCCACCTTCTCCAAGGGCAGCGATGTCTGGAGGTGAGCACTCACAGGCCAGCCAGGATGCCTGGGTTCCATCCCAGCTCTGGGAGGGGAAAGGGGGTCTAGTGGGTTGGAGCCAAGGAGGCAGGATGCCTGGATTCCATCCTAGTACTGTGAGGGGAGGGGGTCTAATGCCCATTTCCCTCTTTCCTGCCCCACCTTGGGTTACCACAGGGATGAGGGATGCTGGGGATGGTCTCCCCTCATCCCTACTAACACTCTCTCCCCTCCCAGCTATGGTGTGCTGCTGTGGGAGCTGCTGACTGGGGAGGTCCCGTACCGCGGCATCGACGGGCTGGCTGTGGCCTACGGCGTCGCCGTCAACAAGCTGACGCTGCCTATCCCCTCCACCTGCCCCCAGCCCTTCGCCCAGCTCATGGCAGGTAAGGGCAGGGAGGGAGTCAGGACTCCTGGGTTCTATCCCAGCTCTGGGAGGGGTGTGGGGCCTAGTGAGTAGAGAGACAGCAGGACCTGTGTCTCACCAGGGCCAGATCCTGCGTGGCTGGGCAGAGTCTGAGCGAGGCAGAGTTTGCCCCACCTCTGCTGGATGAGACAGACCCTGATATGTCCGGTTTCCCCCCCCCCCCCCCCCAGAGTGCTGGGACCAGGACCCCCATGGGCGACCCAGCTTCGACTCCATCCTGGCCCAGCTGACGGCACTGGAGGCCCAGGTGCTGGAGGAGATGCCCCAGGACTCCTTCCACTCCATGCAAGATGACTGGAAGCTGGAGATCCAGGGCATGTTCGATGAGCTCCGAGCCAAGGAAAAGGTACCACTCCCCCATGCCCCCTTCAGCCCAGCCTCCTGCTCCCCACTGAGCCCCCACAGCCTGGCCTCCCCTCAACCCCCACAGTCCAGTCCCCCACTCCCTACTCAGGCCCCACACTTCCCACTGAACCTCTGCAGCCCAGCCCCTGCAGCCCAGTCCCTCCCTCAACCCCTCCACTTTGCACTCAGCCCCCGCAGCCCAGCCCCCCCACTCCCTACTGAGTCCCCCCCACTCCCTACTGAGTCCCCAAAGTCTGCCCCCCCACTCAGCCCCTACAACCCAGCCCCCACTCCCCACTGTGCCCCCGCAGCCAGGCCCCCCCACTCATCCCCCAAAGCCCAGCCCCCCCACCCTACTGAGCCCCCCCCACTGAGCCTCCCCCCCACTTCCCACTCAGCCCCCAC